AGGACAATTCTATTAATAATGGAAGTTGAGGACTACTAATACTAATATTTGGTTTTGACAAAATGACTGGCACGGATTTCTTTCATATTAAATTTGATGACTTCATTTTTGGCATCATTTTTCCAATAAAATCATCCATTGCCTGGATTATTAGGCCTGATAATGCCCCATGCAACCGCCTTCCAGCAAACCTGTGTAGGGCCGGTACATATGATTCGGGAGTTCCACAAGGATCAGTCCTTGGGTCTGTGCTTTCTATAATGTATACTAAGAATTTGGGACAACTAATTGACAATCATGGTTTCTAGGACAACATTCTTATGCAGACGATACACAGCTGATCGCAAGTTATTCCCTTTCAAAAACTGTTTCATTCCCTAATTATTCTGACATCAAATTGTGTACTCATGACATTAAAGATAGGATGACGAGACATATGTTGAAATTAAATTTAATTGAATTAAGTAAATCAGAATGTATTTTATGTGGTCAAAATACACATCTGAAAAATACAAGTTCAAATGATGTGGTAGTACGAGATGCAATATTTGTACCATGAGACACTGTGAATTTGGTCCAGGAACATTGGCCATGTAAACACTTTATTAGCCAGGAAGCAGCTGCTACACTTATATGTTCATTGGTATTCCCAAGGATTGACTACTGTAACAGCTTGTTAGTAGAAACATCTAGTGCCAATATTAAAAAAAATCAACTTGTATTTTATACCGCAGCTCGAATTCTTACCAGATCACCAAAACACTCTCAGATTACTCCTGTTCTGAAATCAATCTATTGGCTGCCAATCATCTTCAAAAGTCTGTCTTTGACGTATTAGTGTGTGAATGGCTTAGCTCAAATACTAACTTTATGTACATACAAGTTCCCTCGAGTAACCTCCGGCCGAACACACATTCATCAGTTTTGTTGCTCAAGGTGGAAATTAATATCATTTAGATACGGATCGTGCTCAGTGAATGCGCCTAACCTGCGTAACAATCTTCCAGAGATCATTAAATCATCGCAAACCCTTTTTGTTTTACATCAAGACTTATCAAGATTAATTAAATTAATTTAAATGTATGCGCAGTGGACATGCTTCTGTACATGGAGTACGTGCGCTATATAAATGTACGCATTAATATTATTATTATTATTATTGGTCAGGCCGAAGTTAGATTTGCACTCCAGCCTCCAAGATGGCGGATGAAATCAGCTGTTCATCTCCCCTCTTTTGCACAAATAAAATGCGGTTTAGTAGCCAGTTATCGGAAATAAACTATAATAGCATATTCCCGAAGCAACAGCCAGAGAAATGCCGCTCTGGCCATTGCTGGATTGACTTCTGATACGTTTTTGAGGGAATGTGTCTATTCTTCCCGTTCAATCAAATCGCTCCTAAGTAAAGCCTTTCGTTTAATCTGGGGTCTTCCCTAAAACTTTGGACAGTGATTTAAGGTATTAAACACGGTGAAAGCATTGTTCGTCTCCAAACAGTATTGTTTACATTGTAGACATGTTGATAGCCTCGTTTGTCACGCAATTTTTTTTTCTGCAATATTCTACTATGCACTGGTTAATAGTTCGTAATAAATTTCGTGAATCATGACGTAACGTTATGTTAACATATTTGAAACTCTGTTTAAACCAGAATGATATTGTTACGCAGTTAGGTATTGGTTGTTAATCGGACAATAAGACCAGTCATAATTTGGAACAGAAAGTTGCTTTCATTACGGCAGTGTTGAGTGGGATTAGGTCTAATCAAACAAAACACTGCGGGGAGTATGCTAAAATAATGACCCTACGCTCATATAGAATTTGTTTTTTGTCTTTTTGAAATATCGCTCGATTCGTTTCGAATCGTTTGTCAAGTATAGACAGATGTATATGACTAGTACACCAGTTAGTTTTTATGATTTGCTATTCAAAAATTCATCATCCTTCTACTAGATCATGAGGTTATATTGCCGAATTAATAAAATGTTGACAAATTGTCTAGAGAAATTAATTGTATTTACCAAGAACAGCTCTTTTGGCATTTATAGTAAATTAAGCTTTTCAAACTTCATCGTTTGAAAATTTTACAGTGTAATTTTGAGCTCAGTTTTCGTGATTAGATACTTATTGGATAGATAGATAGATAGATAGATAGAGAGATAGATAGCGCTAGCTAGATAGATGGATAGGAATAAGTATTTGTCGTTTTGACAATGGAACATTTTTTAAACTTTAATTTTTTGATGAAAGTATATAAACTGCGTTTATATTTATTTGTTTATTTCTATTTTTATTATGGCTTCCCCTAATGGGCCTGGAAACCACGTTAATTTGGTTTCACGTGCCATGTTACACTTTTCACTGTGTAAATAAAGCGGTTTATTTTTCGTCATTTTTGTTGAAAATCGTTATTTTTGTACAAAAATGGAAAATATTTACTACTAAACGGGTCGAGTGCCACCCAATTTTTTTCTTGATCTTAAAACTATAGATTATTGCCTTTTCAGTCAGCATTCCCAAAAAAATACTTAAACCCGCAGTGGATGAGATATAGATAGAATAAAATGACATACATAAATTGAGCTATTTTGGAACCTTGCAGCAATAAGTCCCTATACCAAAAACTGCTCCATGAAAATCCATCAAACTTTCAGAATGTATACTCACAAACCATATCTGCTACGCTATAAAGTTTCATTAATCTAATCGCCGTAGTTTAGTTGTACGAAATAATTGAAAAGTGGCCTGAAAATGATGATTTTTTGGCTTTTTTCGGCCTTAAAATTTCATTTTTTTTTCTACGCTCTAAAAATGGTTCGATTGATCTAAAATTGTGGTAGTGGGGTTTGGAGGGGTTACCCATCATACACCATGTGCCGGCCCCTGCATGGTTCTCTCGCAAACGCATTCTTAAATACAAAAATATTCATTCGAGATTCGAAGTTTTTTTTATTAAATTATAAATAATTCATATCCAAATTTCAGGGGTAAATGATCATGACTAAAATAATATTATGTGGGGATGTCCCTTTTTTCGTTAGTTCACTCCACTTCATCTCAGACTAAAAAATATTTCTTTAACGGGGCGCATTTAGCGATTCACAAATTGTGATTGGTCGATTCCATTTCAATCTACCAATCAACACCACACCCGTGATAAGACAATTCCTCGATAAATTTTGTCACAGGGCAAGAGAGCTCGTTTCTTATAATCTCACGGCAAACGGATTAAAAAGAATCCAACGAAAATATTTTACCTAAGATTACAGGTGACAATAGGTTTTGAACATAATATCCCGTTTATATCATATTCCTGATGCAATGGCCCGAGAAATTTCCGTCTAGACTAGGTCTAATCAAACGAAACACCGCGAGGAGCAAGAAGCTTTAATGAAGCTTCTTGGCGAGGAGTATGGTTTTTCTGAAGGGTATGTCGAATGCTGATAAATTTTCTATTCATTATTATCTTTGTAAATATAGATCGGGGGTTCGATCCCCGTGTTAGCAGAGAAAGTTACCTTGGATTTTCCAGTGTGGTTACCCCTTGTCAGTGGTGCAAGGCGAAGGGTCTGGCAAGGAGCAGTGTCTATTCGTTCGGATGGGACGATGTACCGGCAAGGGAATGTGTTTTATAGTCTACATGGTCAGATATTTCCAAAAAAGGGAATTATTTTCTCTTCTGATCTGAACTGGTTAAATTTTTCTGACATTGATTTACGAGCTCATTTAAAAAGATAAATAATACAAATAAAGCGAATGCCAACATTTTCATCCAGGGATAATCACGTAAGAAACGTGTCCTTGTAATTATTTCTGGAGTTACCTCCCTTACTCCACTCTCTCCTCGGTGGCTTGTAACACGATCATGCTTGTTGTAAAACATTAGGCTGTTACACAGCTAAAACGAAGATTAAAGACAACACCTCTCCCCATGGTTATGCATTTATATTTTAGCAGATAAAAAAGGATATAACCCATAGTTCGAGTGATATGTTAAAGTTTTCCCCCGAATTGGCCGAACCCTGGGTTTTTAGTGTTTGGTCCCTTTTCAGTAAAAACGAACTGATTAATGGGTTTCGTCTCAGACGAAGTATGTAAATGGACTGTATGTCAGTAGAAAATAATGTATTAGCTGAACAAAACAAAAAATACGCAGGCAGAATGGGTAAACAAATTGTTAATTGGGGCACAACCAGACTTCCATACATAAATTGATCTAGGTAAACGAAAGTAGAGAAGAATTGACCAATCGCCGACAACATAACCGGAAACACAATGGTAAGCTATGAAATGTAAAACTGTCTAAATTCTGGCAATTTCTTTATGAGAATGCATGTTTTAATGGAGTACATAGATTTTTAAAACAGTAAATCTCGTAAATCAGCTAATGCATCTTACTTTAAGGTATTTTACACTACTATAAAAGTACCAAACTTTGAATACAGTTCATGACAGCTGATGAAATGGCTGCTATATAGTGTATGGAAAACCAAATGGGGGATAATTATTCGTCAATTTGCTATATGAACTAACGCCCAAATTCCAGAAACACGACTTTTATCAGTAATATTTTGTATTACAGATTTCATAGCCCTTATCAGGACATCTTTGCAATGTGTGTTTAATTAAGTAGGCAAAAACAAGCGCCATAATGAGAAGAAAAAAAATAACCTGTTTAGCTAGCTTTTCTGAAAATTTCAAATCCAAGTCTTTAGCCGTTTGGTAAGATCACCGAGATCACTTAATTAATTTAAAGGGTTTCTACCCCCCCCCCCCCCCCGCCCATTGTACAAGTGCCTTGACAATCACCGAGATCTCTTCTCACAAATCGCGTAACTTCGTCAGATAAATAGACATAGTTAGATTGGCATGGAATTTGGTGACTAATAACCAACTGTACATGCAAACTGGGATGACCCCTTTCAGAATGGATGATAGGTCGATCGATCTAAAATAACTGGGCACGTATATGATCTTTTTTTTTTTTTTTTTTAGGTTGCTGCTGTGATGAAATGCTAATAGCCTACGTACGGGTAGTTCAGTTATTATTAATTTGAATAATGGTGCTAATTGTTCGTAATAGTTTTGGATGCTACTCCAGGATTTCCCAGTGTATAAAACGTCATTCCAAGCAGACAATTGGTGTAAGATATTGTACACGTGTAAAACAACCTGTATTATTGTTTGATGAAGATAGATATAATGGAGTGACAGCTAATCTACAGCAAGTTGATATTAATACTGTTAAAACAGAAGACTTCAGTGTCCAGTTAGCTGGTTTGTACATAATATTAAGTTCATAAAATTATTTTCTGTTATTGTTTGCCCATTAATAAACTGCGCTATTCATTACTAAAACATCACATGAATTTGTTTAATTCAATATCATCAGATTCGTAATAACCGTATTATAGCACTAAATACGCATCGCACATGGCTTTTCTAGAAGATTCTATCATATGAGTCATCTCTTACTTTTGGTATATATTGTAATATGGATTGAAGGATAAGCACCAAATTGTACCTACAATCTAATATGTACTCGACCCTAATATAGGTAGTATAACCAATCTAATATGAACTCGACTAATGTATAGGCAGTATAGCCCATTCCAGTTAAAGAAAAATGAATTTGCTTTCTACCCAATCTGATTAGACTACAGGTCAAAATTTCATTTCGTTTCTTTATACATGTATACATTCGATGACCCCTACTCCAAAACGAGCTGACTGGTTTGCGAGAAAGGTCACTCCAGAGGTTACATAGGTGACTGTTGACTGAAGGACGTAATCTATTTAACTTCTATTTTATTCTCTACTACGCTATTTATAGATTCATTATTGGCTAATCTCTTGTATCAAAATGAAATGGGGTTTAACGTCCTGCCTTTATGCCCCATTCTCAGTCTAGACCTCGTCGTGAAAACTAATAAATCGAAATTTGAACTATAAAGGTAAGTGCAGGAGGATCGCACCACCCCCAAACGGAAAGCCACAACACAAAACCAACAATACATGAACATTTTAAGCAATGACCAAAAAAGTAGTATCAAATCAAGTGAATGGATCCGGTGGCCGACTGTAATCGGTCACTGTTCTGTACAATTCCCGGCCTACAGGCATCACTCAAAATGAAATCCAAACTTGATCACACGGTAGACTACCCGCGACAAATAGGGAATATTATATTATTCCAGTATATGTCATGATCGGTTGTGTGTTTACAAGACACCCCAATGTCAACCCTCTGAACAAAGCGGTTTATAACTATTAAGTTTAAAGAAATGAAGCAAATAATCAAACCGGTTTAATCTAAAAACAAGGATTATTTGATAGTATTTGACAAAAATAAACAATATGAACAATTAAAACAATATGAGCATTTGAAGTGTATTAAATACCCAAAAAGAGCATCTATCCCTTTTCCAAAAAAACCCTGAAAAATCAAGCACCGAATACAAGAAAGGAGCAAAGCAAAGGATGCGATGAGTCTTAACGGCCGTCATCCCCGCCGCTTGTCTGCCGAAAGACAAAATACGTGTTTTATCAAAGATGCATTGTGTAAGAGCTAAATCTCCTTATTGCAGGTCTTTATGTTGATTGCAGATCTTTATGTTGACTTCAAATGTTATATAAATTATTATTTAGACATTTATTCACTTGACAAACCTATAATCAACTCTCTAGACCATCGGATTGCGAGATTTAAAAGTTTAACGCTAAGTAGGATACTCAAGACCTGTCTCGGTTGACAAGTACCGGTGCTACGCTAGTAAACAATCTAAGCTACATCTTTAAACAGTCATAACTTCTCCCAGAATAAAGTAATTTGATTGAAATGTTCATTATCCACTTTTTGAACTAGTATAACAATAACGACCAGCTCTTTATCTAAATTTATATAATGCATCTTTAAAACTGAGAAAATTAGATTTCTCTTTACATTGGAGCCTTTTGAGGTATGCATTGTGGCTGATGAGTTTTTTGCTGTACTGTCGTCCTTAGAAATGTCACTAGAAACAACGAAACCATTGCAACAGAAAACTGATAATTCCGCTGAATTGTTACTTTTAATGCTGACTTGTCGATAGGTCAAGTTGTCGCTCCATTTTCTTATAATATCATGGAATTGTCTCCGTTGTCGCCGTTATTAGGTAAATGTGGGATCTATATTTTTTTTATATCATTATTAGAATCACTAAAGATTTGGAAAGAAGAAAACAGAACAGCAGCCTGGTTACAAGTGCCCATAACACATAGTATCCTGATAGCAATAGCTGGTGACCTTGGTTTTCAGTACCATCATGCCGAAGGAAATAAAGCTATGTTAAAACTTTGGTTGCAAACATATAGAGAAGATCCAACACCTCTATTTGCTACACATCAAGTAGGTGTCTCAGGTAAAAAGGTAGACGATTATATATATATATATTATTTTATAATACCCGCGTCTTTTGTGCTTTTATCACTAAAATTCAGAAATATTAGATTGCATATCACGAAGTTAGGTCCCCTTTGCATTCTAACTTGTAAATCTTGAATAAGCGAGATGTTATTATATGAATACCAATTAGCATTCGGCAAACCTCGACAGATTCTACGCATCTAATCTCGGTTGTGTGACCATTTCCGCCATATTTGAACTATTTTAAAGGTTCCGAATGAAAAATGGCTGCCCCCCATGGAGATTTCTGTGGAGAGTGTATTATATCAACAAACGTCACGTTTGGCATTGGGTTTGGGGAATTACCAGGGAATTTTATCAAACCAGCAGCCTTGAGACAATATCTCTGCTCATTTAGGTATATACACTCTACACAAGACGCAATTTGGGATTTTTTTGTAAAAGCGACACGTTTTCCTGTTTAAAGTAAACCGGTATCCGCATCGCAAATGTATGGGCGTAGGCACATATCACTTACTGTCATACAGCCGAGATTAGATGTAGGGTACCGGAATCTGTCGAGATTTGCCGAGTGTACCAATTAGGTGTCTTGGGGAAAGAGGTAAAAATTAATTACCTCCGTATTTATATTTTTTTTTTTATTTTTCACCTGCATCTGTCGAGCCGTGGTCATTCTAAAATTTGTTAAAGATTTCATATATTCAATTGTTATATTAATTACAGGATTTGTATTAAACGAAGAAAATAATGAAGTACTCGTTGTTCAAGATAAAAACAGACCCGTAAGTGTTGATTGAACTTTTGTTTTATCGTGTGTACTGCTACTGTTTCTTGCGGTGGTGGCTGAGAAGGTGGGGGTGATTATCTTCCCACGATCTGTCGGTGACGTAAAATTTAGAGTTTAGCTACGTTACAGCAGCATACAGCAGGGCGTGTAGAGGTTTTGTGTGATGCCCGGGGTCAACTCAAATATAGGGCCTAGTACTTCGAAATATGAGAAAGAAAGACATTTTAATTATGTAAATATAAATGAAATCAATTCACAATTCCACTATATGATTGGATACCAGGGGCAATCGACCCCCTCTCTACAAAGCTACCGACTGTAGTGAAGACAGCTTTAGCTCGTCTCGTGGTAGAAAACCGCTACTCACCTTGTTCTTGTTCTTGGGGTGACGTCGCTCTTGGAAAAGGGCTAATGCTCCGACAATTCAAGACCAATCGACGTGGAAATTGGCATGCTTCTTCTTTGAACAATTCTACGTCGATTTAGTGAACATGGCCAATTCCAAGCACTACCCATCGTACTGTTGTTCTTGGGGACGACGCTTTTCCACGAAAGCCTAAAGCTCTTGAGACAGAAAATTTCAGTTTCATTTCCATTTGTTTCAAGATAAAAAAAGTACGCATCTGTAACAATAAAACATGTATGTATTGCTTTGCTTTTAGTATACGTTATGGAAATTCCCAGGTGGACTTTCAAATCTAGGTGAAGATATTGGTATGTATAATATATATTCAATTGTGCGTCGTATATATTTTAGATTGTTATGATGGCTTAATTTTGTTACGTAAATTCGTTCGGATGGGACTAAAAATCGAGGTCCCGTGTACACATTGGCGTGGAGGTCAAAGATCCCTTGGGAGTTGGAATTCGATATAAGGAAGGGTAGGTCCAGGCAAAATTTCCCTAATAGCACACTGTTCGGAGCAGAACAATAGGACGTTAATCCCCATTTCATTTCATTTTATAATTTTGTTAAATCGTGGCTACGTTATGTCGGGCTCTCTGCTGGTGTACACAGGGCAGAAGTTTGATTGGGAGTTTTATCACAAGTGTCCGATACTTTTTGACTTCTGGAGTTTGTGAATTCCGTAAAGCTATTATTAAAAGCAGACATATATTTGTCATCTGTTGCTTTTCAGTTTCAGATTTTTTCCCGCCATTCCCCAACCTCCTACAATTTCAACTATTCTACAACTGTTCGGTCAAACGGACGACTTTGCATGTAGTAGAAGGGGATATCCAGACATATGCCGTTTACCTATTTACACGAAACCAGAGCCTCGTCTAAGGATTTGGTCGTGCGGGGCAATGTCGGGCGTCACCCGACCCGCGAGCAGGTGAGAGCCCGCGCGGGGGGGGGGGGTTTGGGGGGCCCTCCCCCAGAAAATTTTGAAAATTGACCCACTTAGACTCGATTTCTGAGCACTTAAAAAATAGTTTCGGAGATTTGATACACTATTAGTTTTGGCATCTTGTTAAACCATGGATTGATTAATAGGCCTACCCTGTAAAATCGAGATCAAAACACTGCTGCGGCTGACCCGCAGACAGAAATATACCCATAAAACAATCAGAAAGACGATTTTGTAAACCTACGCACCATGATATAGTATTGGCACACGGGAAAAACCTTGTCAGCGATTTTCAAAACGTATGTATGTTGCCGCCAAGTCTTCAACTTTTCGGCTCAGTAGGCGGCACAGTTTGGCCAGTGCGCGGCCGGTGGTACTTTTTCCGCCGACCACCGCCGACTACCGCCGACCACCGCCGACCAAAAGCTTTTTACCGCCGACCGTCGTGTAATTACCGCCGACCAAATACTTTTTACCGCCGACCGCATTGTAATGACTTTCGACCGTAATATAATTACCGCCGACCAAATACTTGTTACCGCCGACCAAATGCTTAATGATTCCTTGTTACCGCCGACGATTTTACGGTTGTTTTTTTTTTATAAAAAAGAATACAAGAATGTTATTTTTTATTTGAGGTGTAATCACGTACAACTGTCGAAAAACATTCATATATATTTTAAAGAATATGGAAGGACAAACTACAATTTAGATATTGAAGGGCAAATAAAAAAAATATCAAGATTGTTTCAGCTACTGGTTATAAATAAATAACATTTTAGGCCTATCTTCTATTAATGTTAGGGTTAGGGTTGTCGACCATATTTATATATAATAAAATCTATATTTTTACGTGTATTTAACCAAATCTATTTATTTGTCACTAATAATTTAATTAATTTTATATAGTCGGCGGTAACAAGGAATCATTAAGCATTTGGTCGGCGGTAACAAGTATTTGGTCGGCGGTAATTATATTACGGTCGGCGGTAAAAAGTATTTGGTCGGCGATAATTTCACGACGGTCGACGGTAAAAGTATTGATCGGCGGTGGTCGGCGGTAGTCGGCGGTAAAAAGTACCACCCGTGCGCGGCGGCGGGGTATCTAGACTTAAACCTGGCAGACCTCGATATACGTTTAGATATTTACATGACACCCAATAATACCGTGTGGTCCAACGGGTGACTGCATATAGTAGACGGAGGTATCCAGACTTAAACCTGACAGACCTCGATATACGTTTAGATATTTAGTACATGTATATCAACCAGGTAGTCCGTACAAATCATTTGCTTCGCATGACAGATTATCAAGTTGCGATAATACACGCAGAGTTTAACCCATAATAATAGAAGGCAGTGATTACTTTATAATGAGGCCATTTGTGTATTAGAAGTCTAGAATAGATAAGGAAGAAACGAGCTTCTTAGTCTGAGGCTAAACCTATTTCAGTTCAAGACATCTAAACATAGCCGTAATCTAGCCAAAAATATAAACAGAACTAATAAGTAGGCTAGACCCCCAGTATGATAGCTCATCATTAATTGTTAATGCCCGTAACTACTTGTGCCAAGAGACCCTGTTTGAATTTAGTTGTGTAGATTTGTACCGAAAATAGTGGTTTTCTTTGAAGTATACGGTAATTTATAAACATACATTAATATATAAGAATTTCGAACATTGTTTTTGTTGGGTCATAATAAAATCATCCATCGAAATTCAGATATTTAAATCGCAAATTGTGGAATTACCTCCCATTTACGTTTTTACATTACATAGTCCACATAATTCTTGTCGCCATGAATATTTACCCATGACAACGTGAAAATGGAACTTAAGCACATTCAAAACACACTCATATCCCTTCTATCTTCCGACCAGATTTTTGAACTTACACATACGCATCTTTAAATCAGCCATTGATTTTATTTAGATGGTTATGTTTACTACCCAATGAGTGACATTATTAAAGATACATCATGTAAGATTTAGATAAAGAGCTACCCGTTCTTGCTATACTATAGTTCTAAAATAGATCATTCAAAATCAATAAATTGAAAATTTTAGTCAAATTATTTTATTCTGAGCGACGTTATCGGTGTTTGAAGTTTTAACTGTGTAGTTTCGATTGTCAAGTACCATTGCTCCGATAATAAACAAAGTCTCGATTATCCTTTTTTAAATTCAATTGTTATATGGCGATCGTGTATTAATCCGATATTCTAGAGAGTTGATTATGTGCTTGTCTAATTAATAATTTATATAACATTTGAAGCTAAAAGAAAGACCTGCAATTGGCGGATTTAGCTCTTACATAATGCATCTTTAAGCACTTTGTATTTATAAATGGTTTAGTGTATGTATTTTTTAATTTTGTAGGATACATTAATCGGCGCAATTTCTTATTTTAAGACGAGCGCACTCGTAAATCTCCTCAATGAACTTCAAAGAAGTTTCCACATTAGGTCAAATATCAAAATTAATCTCCCCGCCTTTGTGATTATGTTACATATGTACACACGGTTTTATGTAGGATTATGTCTAAGACAAATTTGTATTAAAATCTAAAACTATAATAGCCATTCAATCATATATATCCCAGACCCATCGTAAACTGTATTTTTAAAATGTTCTTTATATTTTGACAATAACCCTACGACCGTAGTGCATATATGTTTGTAATATTTTAACTATGGTTTCAAATTACAATGGTATTTAAATTGAATTGAATTGAAATGTAATTGTATGATGATGTAAATAAATAACTAAAATATACTATTTTTTCAGGAGATACGGCTGTACGAGAAGTCTTTGAAGAGACCGGTATTAAATGTGGTATGCAAACTATTTTCATTGCTTCCGTGCAAATATATTAGTAAGAATTATTTTATACGGGCAAATCCACATCGGACGAAACAAGACGACACTGCACATTATAAGAGACCCTTAAAGTGTCGTTTATACTGACCTCGCACTCTGATTGGCTAACGAGAATCTTTCGCGCGAACTGTTCCCAAATATTCGCTCTAGAAGAAATCTCCGCGATTTTCCCAGCGAAAACTTTTTCGGACGCGCTCGCCTTTAATTCAAATTACTTTATTCTGGGCAAAGTTATGACTGTTTGAAGATGTAGCACAGATCGTTTATTATCATAGCAGGACGGAGGGCCAGACAAGGACAGCTGTCTTGTCGTTCGGATGGGACGAAAAACCTAAGTCCCGTGTACAGATTGGCGTGCACGTAAAAGATCCCTTGACAGTTGCAATTCGATATAAGAGTAGGCCGTAGTGCTTCTGTCTGGGAAAAATTTCCCTCATAGCTCACTGTATGGCGTATGCCCGTCTTCATTAGCCCAGTTCGGATCAGAATAGTAGGACGTTGAACCCCATTTCATTTATTTATTTATCATAGCAACGGTACTCGACAACCGAGGCTGTCTCGATTATACATTTTATCGTTATATTTTTAAATCTCGCTGTCCACTGCGACCACTGCCCACTGCGACTTTCCGCACGAATCAACGTCCGCCCTGGGAGCAATCTCCGCGGTTTTCCGAGCGAACAAAATTTGGGCGCGTTCATTCATTCCCATCAGTCTGATTAAAATAGAGATCTATATTTAGTTTTGTTTTTTTATACTTTCGATGGCCGACACTACATGAAGATCTGACCAGTTGTAGCGGGTTGTCTCGCGTCAGAGGTCATACGAGCAGCTTTTTACCCTATGACGTTAAAATTTGATTAACCAATCAGCGTCGGTGTTTCTAGTGGGTTACCCACAATTCCGTGCAACTCACACCAAATACTCGCCGTAGCAAACCGTTCCATTTGCCAATCTCTCACATCATCCATGATCCAGAACGCGGGTTATATAACAACTGTTCCAGATCCAGGTGTAGTAAAGACAAGTAAAACAAAATGGTGGACTATAAAAAACGAAACGAAATAGGATCTGTGTTCTAATCGGATTGCATTCCTATAGTAGTCGATCAAATGCGATAGCCTCGTTCTCGCTAATTATAATGTACAATTTCGTTATTTAAATTAAAGTCTAAATGCACTAGAAGTTCAACAATTTTTTCCCCTAATAAAAATAACGGAATAAAAGTATTCTTTATTTTAGGAAGTAATCCAGGCTTAATGAAAACAATAAAACGTAGGTTAGATGTCATGTTGGCCCTGTGGATTAAAAATGCCTTATCAAAAATATGCATTTGATTAACAGGTTATGATTATTTTTTCCATACATAAACAATAATTTGTGTTATAATGATGCAATCCGTCATACAATAATTGCCCAAATAAATATTTTGTTAGTGACCCTTTTTAGAAATATCTATAATTTGTATTGTCTAATTAGAAATAAATAAAAAAAATGAAATTAATAGAGGAATGTAAACTAATCGGTTCCCTTTCTAGTAACTATTTTTTTAGGTGACTAAAATGACTAAATGACGCGTGTGTGAATCGGTTTACTTAGCGCTCGCTTTCACAAGACAATGACTAAATAGCCATCTCGTCATATATGATGTACAGTAGCAGATTATATCCAAAATGAAAACACCCAGAAGAAACTTAGGGCCTGTGTAAATGGAAAAGGGTAACCCTCGTTGGCTAGCTAGTTTGTCTAAACGGGCCCTCCGCTTATGACGTCATTCTATTTAATGAAATAGAAGCCCGGTTAAAGGAACCAGCTTGCATTTCATAAGTTCAAGACTTAACAACGGGTCGACGCCTGCGCAGTGTTCATTTAATTTATGGCCCTCGATCATATAAGCTGTTAAACGGTCTGGCCTTTTCATATAGACAACAATTTTAGCCGAGACAAGGTAAAATAGCTCGATTTAATATAAACAATTAAGTTAGAAATCTTGGGTATCAGGGCTAGCCCACACGTCAGGGCCAGCCCAGACCATATAACATTCACTAACCTACAACCAAGATGTCGACTGTGTTTTCGTTAGTTTGGGCAATAAAATCATCGGTTCCAGTTTGTATTTAAACACTTAAACCGTCCTGATAGAGCTCAAAATCTCATCTAGAACGATGTTATATTCGAGAATTTATGTCATATCGGCTTCCAATAACGTTAAACATTTCTGACATCATACCTAAGCTGCTTGATATATTCCAACCAAATTTTGTCCGTACGCAATCTTGCTTGGGTAGTTCTTGGATGGATTTCAAACCTGTTCCTTTGGTAGTTCTTGATGGATTTGAACACGTTGATTGGGTAGTTTTTGATGGATTTTAACAAGTTGCTTGGGTCGTTCTTGATAGATTCGAACAAGTTGCTTGGGTCGTCGCTTGTCCAACTTTGTGGGTTTTCTCCGGGTCTCCCGGTTTCCTCCTGCACTGCTAAAGACCCCTACGCACAAGCGAATTATTAAAATAAAATTGAACCATGTGTTAGTCCCGAAATCATCTAGTTTGTGTCGAGTGGCCGTTTAACCCCATTTCTCTCTCTCCCTCTTTGCTTGGGTCGTTCTTGATGGACTTCAAACATGTGGCTTGGGTAGTTCCTGGTGGATTTCAAACATCTGGTTTGGGTAGTGCTTATTCAGACCCGATTGAATAGTTAGGATATATAAATTTTTAGAAAGAATGCATCGATGATAAAATTATAGCAGACAGGCTGTCCAATATATTTATTCCATTTGATAACCATTACAGCACTAGATTTCAAATTGTCACATGAGTTAGTGTGACATTCACAATATTAAAAATACGCTGAAACCATGCACACAGAGAAATATCTACTTTGGGAATAGATCTCTGCCCTAAATGACCGCTATGTTGAGAAATTAGTGTAAAATGTTGTTATGCGGTTCCAATCCGTTTTACATCATCCACAAACACGACGACTAAATAGTTATTTTCAATTTTATTTGAGATATACCAGCTGGAAGTAGAGACAAGTAAACATGCCATTTTCGGCCCTACATTTCAATCTAACCAACCTCTCAACTCTTGTATCCTTCCGCCGCAAAATCATGAATATTCACCAAAACCTGACAGAAAATGTATTTTGAAACCCTTTTCTTCGATTCTACACCAAAAAGTCAACAAAAATCGCCATGCAAAAGGGGGAAAAGGGAAAGGGAGAGAAAGACTAAAAATAGCTTTGGTCCTTGTAGAAATATGGGTGACGGCATGTCCTGTTGTAGACAGACAGTGTAAGTTTCGTATGACGCTGAAATATATATATATATATATATAAAGATCAATATGACCCATTGAGTAACACGACACCTAGACGGGTTAATTTACGGCGAATAATATCTGAGGCGCAATTTAAATTTTGTCAAAGAAACACGCAGATTAGTGATAAAAGAATTATAAACAAAATGAAACTCAAACCGAAATTATTTTTTTTTTAACCTTTAGAAGTTAATTTAATACGTCATGTAGTTTTAATTGAGATGACATTTTTGTTCATTTGTTTGATATTAGTAATAATATTAAAAGTGTGAAACACACATTGTTTAGTCTGGGTAAACCACTGATTGATAGATGTCAACAGATATGTCATTAGCATCAGCACACTGAATGATGTCGTATATAACGGAAACCCACATAATATAATTTACATATTTATATTGACTTCTTTGAACTTTGCCCAACATCTGTTTTTTCTTTGTATTAACCAACTTTAAAATATAATCGTGTATTGCCGTCATCACGATCGTCTGATTATTAAAGTGATAATGATGAAAGTTAATTTCCGACTGACTTTTAATTGCTGTTCTTGATAACCTTATTGGGGGTCTTCGATTTCAGGTTATTAGACACCCCGTTCAAATGTAGAAATGTTTAAGTAGAATGATGATGAATATATGCACTAAAAGTGCGGGGTTGAGAAAAGAGGTTTTGTTTTTTTTGGGGGGGGGGGGTATATGGGATGCCATCGTTTTTGCGATATCAACTCGGTGGAAGCGGACGTTAAATAAAACTATTTCACACTCATGGATCGTTGGATTGTCCATCTTAATTCGTCTTTAAGATGAATTTATTTTGTATTGTTTTGGGGACTGTTTGTTAATAATTCCATTTATGGTCAAAAGGACTTTCATTTAGGAAGTAAAAACCAAAACGTTTTGGGTCCAAAATATATTCAAATCTTACTTAAGTTATGACCATTTAAAGTTTACATTGGTTTCTATTGCCATATTTGTTTGTCTTACGTATATAAAGTAATGATAATTCTGTCTTGATAAAGGTTTTCTTTTAATCCCGAGATGTACTTAATTGCATAATACGAATAACCATTACGCTTTACATTCAAAATAATATATATACACAATTGTGACGTCTGGCTTGACGCGCCATTGTAGATAAAATTAATTCACGAAAACTTATCAATGGACTACCTACGCTTCTAGGTATAAAATAATATCTATTTAATCCTTAAAACATAGGCAAACAGAGAATCTAATACCTGGAGATCATCTTTAATATCACCTTAAAACCAGGGGTGACTCTTAACTACCACTTTACCTCACCAGTAGCAATGACAAGCCTATCATTACCCTTTGTGTTGGACATTTAGAAGTAGTTAAAACCAGGGATATCTAAATCAAATATAAGAAGTCTACAGCTTATCTATATACCGTTCAGTTATTTGTTGATATATATGATATATATAAGTTGAGGCTCTATGATGTATTAGAAGGAGGAATTATAAGAATAGCTGTGTATACCTACTTGTCAACTTTTGATAGATCCTAGCCCAGCCTACGGGTGATAAAATGATAATAAAAACACTTATTGATATTTACTGATTATAGGTGAATAAATAATAAACAAACCGTTTATCACATATACATACATAGATATATAAACGTACATGTATACTATGGTATATTCAAATTTAAAGGAGGTGACAAAGGAGTTAAATAATGTTCTTATAAGTGTTTTCATTTGTGCAAGAACTTGCACTATCTTGACTATATAGATTTCTCAAGAACGATAATTTGAATTTTATTCTTTTTAAATGACCTCATTACCAATATTTTGTTACGGAACAGGTGTACCACTTTTTGTAACTAAAGGAAGTAAGGAGTAAGATGCCCAGCGAAACCGGGTACCGAACCAAACTGGGTACCGAAAGCATGCTATTTTTGTTAGAAAGTGCCACAATCTGATTAAAACACAGATCCTATTTCGTTTCGTTTTTTATAGTTGAAAATTTCGTTTTACCTGTCTTCACAACACTAGGATCTGGAAGAGTTGTTGTTTAACAGGCAATCTTGTTGGTGTGAGGAATTGGTCAATGAAACGGTCTGTTACGGCGAGTTCTTGGAGAGCTCTGACTGACTCGTGTGATCCCTGACGCGACCTCCCAGTACAACTGGTCAGATCTTCATGTAGTGTAGGCCACTGAAAGTATAAAAATCGAAACGAAATATAGATCTGTATTTTGATCAGATTAAAAGTGCCATGTCCCTCAAAAGATTGGGTACTGCAATCTATTAGTCAGTTTTATAGCCACATGTGTTAAAAGTGTTGGTACTGTGCGTAAATTCAGCTGCTTACCGGAAAGTGGAAAAGCCTCAGCCATGTGAAAAATATCCATACTAACTGTTTTCTCCAAGGTTTCAATATTTAGAAATAAAATTCTGTTCCTATACAATTTAAATCGCGAGCCACGGCCTTTTAACAGTTCGACGTATGAAAATACCTACCGCATAATAATAATGTTCACGTTTAAATAAGTAGACATTTTTGAACGTATATTAATCGTGTTTATTTCGTGTATAAACATGTTTCTTTACTGCTTATCTAAAGTCGACAGGGTTCATCATCCATATGCTTCATAATTCTTCGAGTGAAGCCAACATGACGGAGCTTTGAATTAGCTTGAACGGGGTATTATTTTGTTTTTTTAGGTTTTCAATATTCAAAACTTCGAGTCTGTGATCTGTAACAAATTGATTCGATATAAGATTTAATTTAAAGAATTGCCAGCTGTCTGGAAAATCTATTCACGGATAATGTGTTAATAAGAAATTAGCATATGGATTTAACATGGGAATGAACTTAATAAAAGATCAGACGCAATTAGTAAAAAGCTTTAATAGTACAAGAGAAAAAAGTGGGTTTGACGACCGTTTCCACCTAGGGTGGTATAGCAGACAAGTAACCGAGTGGTCTAAGGCGTGGACTTTATACCTTAAGGCAGTGCATGATTCTCAACCTTTTTTTGCCAACGGCACACCTTAGAACACGTGAAAAACTAACGGCACACTTGGCTAAACATGTATGAAAAATATTTTAATTTTGTAAAATAAAAACACGGCAAGTCATAGACGGCATGCAATCGTAGACAAAGACTAGTCATAGACACATAGAGTAACTCAAACTATAGATCTATCAACCTACAAGTAAACAGCAGTGAAAACTCATTTGGGATCACGTGATTTTTCGCATTTTCTGAGTGTGTCGTTCAAATTTCGCGGCACACTTAGGAAGATCTCGCGGCACACTGGTTGAGAATCACTGCTTTAAGGTTTGTCATCTATTCAAATTGGGAATCCACGGTGAATCAATTGGGAATCCACGGTGAATCAGTGATTAAGGCGATGGCTCACTAACAAGAAGGTGAAGAGTTCGATACCGGTGTTGGTCGAGAAAGTACCTGGAGATTTTCCAACATGTTTTCCCCTTGTCAGTGGTACAGACGTAGGGTCTGGCATGGAACAGTGTCGGATAGGACGAATAAACGAGTTCCCGTTGGTCTGCACGTAAAAATTCCCTTGACAGCAAAACTTTGAAATAAGACCCCTGCGCATAATTTAATAATTGAAATATGTTTTTTCCGAATAACATAACTTGTATGGAGTCAACGTTTTAACCAGATGCCTCTAGGCTAAAGTCAACCAAGTTATCATTGTTTGTAGTTTTGACAAGATGTATGCATAGTGGTAACCAGGGCACTGGTATATTCGGGACTTAGCCTCGCTTTCCCAATTTTAAATTCAATTTTTAATCTAGTTAAAATATATCTAGAGTATCCGATGCCATCGAGAGTTGATTATGGTCTTGTTTTGTTAATAAATGACTAATTAATAGTATATATAACATACAGGCAGATTTAGCTCTTGCATAGTGTATGTTTAATATACTGTCCATGCGAAAAGTTTTGATTGTGTATATCTATATTTGCCGAATATTTAGTCCGAATATACGAAATGAAGATAACACACCGATATTAATTAGATTGCTTTCAGAAAGCCAAATTGTTTTGGATTTTGTTTTATGAATTGGGTTTCAGGACCTGGGTTCGAAGAATTTGACAACAGGTAGTTCGGGTGTGGGTCGGGAGGTTCTAAAATGTAACCAGCGGATTCCGTTGTTATGTAAATTGTGAAAATATTTTAAAGAAAACTTTCAGTGAAATATTTTGTGAACATTACTGTTTGAGTTATCCGAATCTTTAGTTTAGAATACCATCGTATGTATCTGTTAAATCAGTCGATAACATAACTTCGTTCCTTTATTTACGTCACTTCCCGATTCTTCAAATCTCTTTTACATGTACGTTATAATAAAAATCTTTATGTTAAAACTATACATGTGTTTAACCAGTTCTACCACTATTTAAATTGATGTACACCAAATTGTCCTTTAAGTCCAAGTCTTATGTCATTAGAAATGAAATGGGGTTTAACGTCCTATTTTTCTGCTCCGACTGGCCTAATGAAGATGGTCATACGCTATGCAGTCTGCTATGAGGAAAATTGTGCCCGGACAGCGGCGCTACGACCTACTCTATTCTAACTGTCAAGGGTTCGTTTACGTGAACGGCTATATGTTGTCCATTACCAATTCCTCCGTCCTACACCACTGACAAAGGGGGGGGGGGGGAGGATCACGCGGGAAAATCCAGATGAACTTTGTCGACCAAAACCAGGATCAAACAGATTAGCGCGCCAACGTCTTACTCACCGCGGCCCCCTCATATGTTATTAGATTATGTTTTATATTCCACTTTATTTACTTTGAAAATACCAGTGATTTTAATATACACGACAAGTTTTGCGTGGGATGTCATCTTAATTTAAACGATCTCCTTTTTTGCCGTGTTTACGAGTTATGAAAGTTATTTTTGATGTCAATATGTATTTCGTACAATGACCTAACCACTCGAACGCTAACTTATTTCACGTTTGGCTAAAAATGGTAGCATAAGAGTTCCTACATTTTATCTTGAAATATATAGCAAAGTAACATTACGAACTGAAGTACGATTTCTACTCACTTAGACCTATTATGTTTCCGATCCCGTAGTCGGGTGGAGGGGGCGGGGAAGGTGCAATCGAGTTTTATTTAAATTCATTTCTTCACTTGAAGGAGCTAAACTTGTTGAATTAACGCATGGTTCCATTCGTGTCGAGTTTCATTTAAGCTTACTTTTGTACTTAAAGGAGCTAAATCTGACAAACTCTAAAATTATTTGAGACTCGAGTTTGCAAGAAGAAAAATGACATTAACGCGATATGTGTACAGTCAGCAATTCAGAAACTCGTATTTAACGGAAACACATCATGAACGACTGAAAAAAACAGTTGAATTGAATTGATCTGTCTTGCTGTTTCGATTAGTGATCGGAAACGGTTAAATTCTAGTTTCGAAGACGATTTGTTTACTAATTTTAGGTTTTTTTTAAATTTAGCTTAGAACACACTTAACAAATGAAATGAAATGGGGTTTACGCCCTCCTGTTCTGCTCCGAATAGGATAATGAAGACGGACATACGCCATGCAGTGTGCTATAAGGGACATTTTGCCCGGACAGCGGCACTAAGGCCTACTCTTATTTCGAATTTCAACTGTCAAGGGGGCTTCTACGTGCATGCCAATGTGTATACACGGGACCTCGGTTGCTCGTCCAATCTAGACGCTGTTCCTTGCCAGGCCCCCGTTTTGCACCGCTGACAAGGGGAAACCACGCCGGAATGTCCGGAGGATCTAAACCTAATTCCCTAGATTAGCCCGCCAGCGCCAACCCACTAAGCCACCTCGGCTCCAACACACATAACACACAGTCGGTTATATCTGAGCGTAAAATTTTCAACGAAAATTTATTGCCATCTCACAAATAAAACCAATTTTATTCTTGAACTAATGTGGTATATAAAAAAAAAATTATATTGGCTATATTGTCTCTTTTGTTTTTGTCTTTACAGAATTCAAATCAATTTTGTCATTTCGACAGCAGCACCAGCATCCTGGAGCATTTGGAAGATCTGATTTTTACGTGATATGTCGATTGAAACCACTAACGTTCAGCATCAGTGCGTGTTCAGATGAAATTCGCCAGTGTAAATGGATGCACATCAGTGATATCAAGCAAGAGGTGGAAGCATCATCGCTAACCAAGAGATTGGCAGACATGATGGAGTTCGGTCTAGCTAATGGATTTGATAAAATTGATATACACTGTGAAGAAATGAAGTCAGTGTATAAAGGTTTAAAGTTTAAACTGTACCATAGACCATTCTCTATACAAAACAAATCAACAGATTAGACTTTCTTTAATTGTTTTGTACTATTAAAATCCCAATTTAGATAAAATTTGGGTAATATAAGGCCTAGATGATTATGGGTAATATAGGGCCTACATTGTTATGGGTAATGTAGGGCCTAGATGATTATGGGTAATATAGGGTATATATGATTATGGGCAATATAGGGCCTAGATAGGGCATATATGATTATGGACAATATAGGGCCTAGATGATTATGGGTAATAGAGGACCTAGATGATTATGGGTAATATAAGATCTAAATGATTATGTTAATTGATACTTCAAATGATTTAATAAATATGTAGCATAGTCTTAGAATTTTTATAATAGATCACCATTTAAACTGACATTATGCAATAGCTAAATCTATCTATTGCAGGTCTTTCTTTAGGCCTGAAAGGTTATATAAATTATTAATTAGACATTTATTAACATACCAAGACCATAATCGAGTAGTTCCGATATTTAGTAGATTTGAATACGTTTTGCGGTTGGTGAAATAGGCGTAAAATTGGATAATCGAGACTTTGTTTATTATCGTAACAACGGTAGCAATGGCAATCGAGGCTACAGTGTTATTGTATAGTCGATAACTAGGTTCAGAGTGTTGTAGTTTGCCTGAAAGTTTTAATATATTCCCTTTTCATTATCTTTTTTTTTTAACGATTAGGCCGAGAACTGTCAGCTCTTTATCTAATCTTACCTAATGCCCCCTTTAAGTTTTAACTGAAATAAACGTGAACAATGGTGGATAATCAAGTCTTTTACCATGCATTGCGAAGTTAAAGACTAAGAAACTTGTATTGCTCCTGTTTTAAAATACTATAATAAAAATGCTCTTCACAATCAGATAATAAAGATACCTGGTTCCAAGTTGTTTTAATTTTTATGCGACTTGGTGAATATGGAACTGGTTCACTAACCACGGTTCGATCCCGACTCTGCCTGTGAAAGTTTCTTGTGATTTTCCAGTCTGGTTTCCACTTGACAATCGGAAATGAAATGAAATGGGGTTTAACGTCCCACTGTTCATCTCCGACTGGGCTAATGAAAGCATACGCCATACAGTGTGCTATGAGGGAAATTCTACAAGGACTGTTCTTGTATCGAATTCCAACTGCCAGGGGATCTTTTACGTGCACGCCAATGTGTACACGGGACCTCGGGTTTTTGTCCCATTCGAACGACTAGACAGCCGTCCTGCCAGGCCCTCCGTCCTGCACCACTTAGCCCAGCACAGTGCCCCCCCCCCTTGACCTTGAGTGGGAATTCTATGAAGATCAATCTGATTAAAACACCGATCCTATTTCGTTTCGTTTTTCTTAATTCAAAATTTCGTTTTACATTTCTTTACTACCGGTGTTCTGGTTGAAGCCAGGGATTAGCCAATGAAACGGTCTGTTACGGCGAGTTCTTGGCGCGACCTTCTTGTACAACCGGTCAGATCTTCATGTAGTGTAGTCCATAGACAGTATAAAAAAAAACGAAACGAAATATAAATCTGTATTTTAATCAGATTGTATGAAGACTAGACGGAAACTCAGCTGTCTGAGAAAATTTTCACTCAAAACATCACTGCATAGTGTGTGCCTGTTTTTATTAGATGGGATGTTGCCGAAACATAGGACATTAAACCCCATTTCTTTTAATATTTATGTTGTTTGTGTACTTTATAAACTTGTTTGGCCGTAAACTGTTGTTTGTAAAAGTAATCTCCCGTTTACACTCCAGGTTTGATTTGGCATTGACTTAATGGACCAGATACACATGTAAATCTAGCATCTATTTATAGATATCAGACAAGAAAAAACTTTGATTACAAAAGAATATGGTCTAGTTGTAAAAATGTGTGCTGACAGTCAAAAAATGAAACTGGAAGTATACATTCAAAAATCGAATTTCGGTAACTTTACAGGTTTAAAAATTCATGCCCCGGGTTATTTCCTGTAGTTAAACATATTCGGTTTAAAAAATTCAAAGAAATCCGACACTTTGCATATTTATATCAAACAGATCACATTACTAGATATTTCAACTGTGCTTAATTCATACATTTCATGTACTTATTATTAAGACCAGAGCTAAGGTTATGAACTGTTAATGTAGTGGCGGGCAGAGAGGGAGGGGGGGGGGAGTAAGAGACTTGGGGATGGGGGCTGGGATGTCCCTGGGCATTCCTTTTTTGGGGGCATCCAATCAATCGGTGACATTAAAATCAATGTAGAAATTATTGCTGTTAACTTTATTGTACAAAGTTGCCCTACCTAATTTGTATACATAGTTTATTTCATCTGTTTCATATATTTAAAACTCCTTCCTTTCTCACATTTATCCGTACTAATCCTTGTACTTGGGTCTTGGGGGCTTACAATCAGGGAAATGACCCCAGGCATTACCAAACCTACACGCCACTATGTCAATGACCCCATAATAGGCCGTCAAAACATTTTTTAGGGTTTCACGACGGCAAAAGAATAATATTATTATTAGTGACGTCATCTAAAGGTTAAGATGTACTTTTCTGGCGGTGATATGACCCTAGGGGTAAGTGGACATTAAACCCTAGTTTATTATTACTACTACTTCTACTACTGCTAGGGGGTGTGTGTGGCCGAATGGTATAACACGTCTGCGTTAGATCATAACGTGTGTCATTGAATCAAGTGGCCTTGTTTCGATTCTCCTCCTGTGGTTTATTTAGGTCTTCCGGTTAAAAACCTCAATGCGCAAGAAAATTATTGAAATAAAATTGAACAATTTAGTCCCGAAATGACCTAGTGTGTGTCGAGTGGACGTTAAACTCTCTCTCTCTCTCTCTACTACTGATACTGCGCCCAATGGTCATTGGCAATCCACGAGTAATGTCTAAATATACGTGATCTAGGTAACCGAGATAACCTACCCGTTAATTTCAATTTAATTATTTTGCCGATAATATTTAAACCCAAACAAACATAAATAAATAGCTTGTTTTTATTTATATTATATTATGCAGCATACAAATCATTAAATCTGCAGGGAGCCTCTGTGGCTCGTATTATATGAGTCGCTGGCTCACTAGCCAGTAGGTCCGACCGGGGTCGACACAAGTGTTAGCCGAGAAAGTTTGCCTTCCAATTTAGGTTGTGTGGATATATACCGTAGAATAATTAGAATTTGTTCAGTAGTGACAATATTCGAAGAATTGGTGAAATTTTGACTAAAGGAGATTATTCAAGGGCGCCTAGTTTGGAACCGGAATCATTTAAAAGACAAAGGAAACGCGTTAATCTATCTATCTACACTAATATTTGTGACTGTCGTTTGTCTGTATGTCTGTCTGTTTGTCTGTCTGTTCGGGGTTGGCGGCTACACTAGGTCTGCCCCGAGTCTGAAATTTGGGGTACAGGGGTAGCTCGGACCGGGGAGTAACATAGGCCAGGTGGCGTTGGTCTACCACTTCCGGTTTCGGGGTTATGACCCCCGAGCGAAGCCGGGCATTCTTCTAGTAAGTCATTAAAAGACAGATAAAAAGAAAAATTCGTCTGCTTTCCTGACATACCCCATTCTGATTAAAATACAGATCTATATTTCGTTTCGGTTTTTTTATACTTTCGATGGTCTACACTACATACAGATCTGATCAGTTGTAGCGATAGGTCGTGTCATAGGTCATACGAGCGGCTTTTGACCCTATGACGTTAGACATTTGATTAACCAATCAGCATTGATGTTACTAGTGGATTACCCACAGTCCCGTGCAAAACACACCTAAAGCTCGCTGTAACAGACCGTTTCATTGGCTGATTCCTCACACAATTCAGAACACGTCAATGATAACAACTCTTCCAGATTCTAGTGTAGAAAAGAAAAGTAAAACGAAATTTTGAACTATAAAAACGAAACGAAATAGGGTCTGTTTTTTAATCAGATTGATTATACCCAAATAGTACAAGAAGACATTTGAGTAGGCCACGAGACCGTTAAATGAACATTTTAAAATCAACCACTAAAATACCCTTTTATTAGGATGTTTGGCTGTTTATTTTATAAACCGATTCTATTTTAATGCATTTTTAAATCTTTGTTATTTTCTTTTAAAACTATTTTTATTTTATATTATGTTATATATTGATAAGCTTTTATCGTGTAATATAACAAATTGTTTTTCTTATTAATTTTCACTTCGTCGTCTTGGAAACAACAAGATGATTAATCTATTTATCGGTTGTAAAGGGAGATAACTGCGTAAATATTTCAATTTTCTGCAAATTATGGAATATTCGTTGCAATTATTATACTGATGTGCTGCAAATTGACAATATTGGGTTTGTATTTTATAGTATTTGATAAGTATTTGGTAGTATTGGGTTATTGTTTGCTTGATTTGGGTGATATATGGAGGCAAATGGAACAGCCAGACATCGGTAATCACATTTGAAGTACATTTCCCACGATATATCTCACTATTTTTTTTAAAAAAGATCAAGTAATATGCTCATTTTGCACCATTACGTTGTAGTATTGGGTAGTATGTGGTGATATTGGAGTGGTATTCGGGTTGTATTGGGTAGTATTGGGTAAATCGCCCCGCCACCCTTAGACCATGGTTCGTCCATGTCAGTGAGACAGGACGGAGGGTCTGGCAAGGACAGCATCTAGTCATTCGAGTGGGACCAATACCGAGGTCCCGTGTACATATTTGCGTGCACGTAAACTAACTTTTAACAGTTGGAATTTCATAGACCGTAGTGCCGACGGCCGGCGAAATTTCCCTCCTAGCACACTGTGTGGCGTTTGCCCGTCTTTATTAGCCTGTCTCGGTGCAGAAAAATGGGACGTTAAACCCCATTTCATTTCATTTCATTAAATCCATAACGTTAAGGGCGTATGGCTATTTTAAAGCGTTCATTGTGACTTAAATATTGGATATTAGGATCCCACATTTTCACGGCAACATAACAACATTAATATGGATTGAAATGGGTCAATATTGAATTATAATTTGTGATTTTAATTTCGAATATTTTCCATAATATTCGAAATTAAAAACACAAATTAGACTTAACTCCTTTAAATCTTCAAATCTGTCAATATCTCTTTAAGAGAATCGGGATCTGGCGAGTACGGCATGAACTTGATCTTGAACCAGTGGCGCAATCCCCTTTTGTTTTCAACTTCTTTATATCTATATACAGAATCCCCGGCGATAAGAACAAAGGTGGACGTATTGTATGTTGTTCTATTATGTAATCATGCTAAGTTTAATTGCTCATGACTCTTGACTATCCTTTTTCTGTTTGAATTTACGAAATATTGACATTAAGATTAGCTCGACTTTATACAGAAAAAATTGTACTTTTTTTTTATTTATCCGAAAATGGGACCGTCGTGATCGTCTTATATTAGACACTGATTAAATAAAGTATTTTATTCGGGACGATTCGTATTATTTTGGTCTATCTGTTTATTTTTCGTAACGTACAGATATTTTGGGTTAGGCGCTACCTCGAAATGATCCTAAATTGATTCAAATAAGCTTAACAAGTGTCAGACGTTATTTTAAGGAACACTTCTTTAATTGTTAATTGAGTCAAATGCATTAGCTTAATCGCAATTCCGAGCCCCCCCCCCCTCCCCAGTTTATATTTACTCTTTCAAGCCTGATCGCATGATTTCTTCACATGTTTGGGGGAGGGGGGGGGATTTTTTGGGTTTTTTTTAGGAAATCGCCCATTTCCATTATTTTAAAGGTGCCGGGCTAATTAAAAAAGGGGACCTTTAACTAAGACGGCGGTGGGATTTTCATTGCTCCACGATGGAATTCAAAGCCTAACTAATGTTTTTCTTTCCATCGTTTATCCCGACCGGTTCTACTAACTTCCGGTATAATAGTCTGGTAAAATTGAA